AGCAACCCACAAATGCAATATCTCAGTCCAAAGTAAAAGGTTGAACAAACTTTTATTGCACCGTCATTTCTAATTTTAGACTGGGCTACATGTATCTGTTTACATGGTCATTGAATAAATGTATATACGCTGAGGGTCAATGCAGTTTTTTAAAAGTTCAGGACTAATCTCAAGACATAGGCGTAGATTTCAGTCTATACTAAAATTCATATTACTGGATTGGAGTGAAATTTCTCTCAGTAGATGGTTGAAATTGGCAACACGTTTAATATCCCCGAATGTATACGAAATATCCATCATACTGTGCTATAATTTTTCGTATGTGGTATATTTTTCGATCAAATGTACGATGACCCCCCCCCCCCAAAAAAAAAAATAATAAGCAGTTAGTACATATATATTTTGTAGAATTAGGTGGTTGAGAAAAATATTCCTTTTTATATGTATTATATTACTTCTGTGTCTATGTATCTTCTTCCTTCTATATTTTAAAATATAAATAATTCATGTATTTTTCAAATGAAAGTAAAAAATATTCAAAATGATTGTTGAATAGTTTTATTAGTTAATAATATGAACATATCTTATTTCAAGGTTATCAATTCAGAGAGAGAGAGAGAGAGAGAGAGAGATTTATACACCGACATCGTCAAAGTATACAATTGAATTCTAACAAAAATGTATAATGTCTTTAAATCCCTTTTTCAATGGAAACTTGCAAGCATTAAATCCCCCGGTGAAAGAATTAACATTTGGATTTTCTCCCCGACTGGTAATACATATGTACACATTTACTTCAAACTTAGCAACGAACAGCCTATGTTATTTTCAGAGCTCAAGTCTTGACTGGTTCACATTCACTGCCATCCTACGCGGCAGATCGATAACAAAAGTCGATCGCTCCCTAGTCATCGATAATCCAAAGGAATTACTTTTCAAATCGCTTTGTGTACAAGTTTAAACTACAGGTGAAATTCCCTCGCAAACTACGTGTAGATATATATGTGTTCTCTGATATTGGTTAACTCGTGGTATTCAAAGGACCCTGAAGCCGATTAAAGACAAAAATACAGAGAAATTTGTTAAGCCTTATACATTTAATCCATGTTGTGTGCAGAATAATTATGTAATAATATTACAATGGACTTGAAATACATAGTAATACAATATACCCCATCTCTTTTGCAAGTGATTTGTTTGAAAAAAAATTTGAATATACATTGTATTCTGACTCCCAGTATGTTCAAATACATGCAGTCTACTTTGAAGCCCCCCCCCCCCCCCAATACACACATACACACAAATTAATTTGTTATCAAGAGTGATGTTTGAGATTAATTAATTGAATCTGATAAGATTGCCCTCAATTTATGTCGTTGCTGATGAAGTAACGACAAAGTAAGACCCCGATCCTGTAAAACTCCTCTCACCTCTAGTATGAAGTCAGGTCCGTAGGATCGGGGGGGGGGGGGTCGAGAATGTGCCACAATAATTTTGCCAATGTGCCGGTATATACTACACGAAAGAAAACAGAGCTAATTTAAGGTTGTGCCCCTGAATAATAACTTTGAAACTTCGATGACCTTTTTTTGAAGGGGGAGTCGTCTCTAGGAATGTAATTAAGTCTCCACCCTCCCTCCCTCGGACATATTTTTCTTCTGTAGACGCTTGAAATACTGATATCATTCATTAAATGATGTCATTCAGCCGCACTATAGAATTTGTGCTTGCGACTAATCTAGGCAGAAAAGAGAGAAGAAATTAAATTTAACCCACATATCAATTTGCAAATAGTAATGAATATGAAATCCAGATGGGTTAATTGAATTTAAAACAACAAGGACGATCCACTCGGTCTCCAGTATAAAATAGCAAAGGTTATGGCATATTTCCCAAGAGTCTTAAATATGACGAATAACTCGGGAAATTTGTATTATTCATATTTGCACCATACTTCAAATCGATATCACCACTATTGCAGTTGCAGTTTGAACGCTGGAAAAAAAATGCTGTTACAGAAGTATACTAAAAACTTCATATGTTCTGCTTCATACGATTCCATTGTACCTGGACAGGCCGAACAAATACATGACAGATCTGTAAAAAATGTGATGTCAAACACAAAGCTCATTGGGCTGATGGTTATAACCCCCCTCCCCCCCCCCCCCCCCCACACACACACACACTTTCCATGAATTTGGTCTGTACAATTTTACATTCCAGAACCCAATTTTTCCCAACAGAAATCCGTAATTATTGAGGAGCTGTAGTATATGTTGGCCATTTATTGGAACCCCCCCCCCCCCAATGTTTATAGGCCTAATATTAGCCATTAAATCGATTTAAATAAGACGCATAAAAAATTCACAAGTGCATGTACTTTTCATAGGGTAAAAAGAAACACTAGATATTTTACCCTAAGCAAAAGTTATGATTTTCAGTAGTATTTCTAGTATAAATACACACATGTATACCAACAAATGTCACCCAAGATCCATAGAACTAAAAGTTTGTTCTTTTGTCGTATGTGAACCCCCCCCCCCCTGGGAACTGGGAATTACATGTTTTATTTTTAAGAGAAAATACTTCTTCCTCGCCTTTACCGTTTAAAAAATTCTGAATCTGCCAATTTTTGTTATTAATGTAATATTCATGTTATCATAGAGTTTATTCAAGCATGCGTATTAAAGATAACGAAACAGGCAATATCTTTTATAAGCAGTGGCAGTAAGCAGTGAGCAGTGGCAGTATATGGTGATCTATAAGCAGAGACAGTTGGCAGTAAGGAGGGAGCAGTTGCACTGCAAAAAGCAGTTCGCTAAAGCATGCAGTTGGCTGTCGTATATGGAATTCCATAGTGACCAGCTTCCAAGTAAGTACATCTAATTTTATATATTATGTAATTCAGGCCCTTAGAACGCATAATTCAGGCCCTTAGAACGCAAGGGGGGGGGGGGTAATTTTTCTGAGCAGAGAATTTCGCTGTAATAGTTAATTTTCTTTTAGATGCTGGTTGCCCCCCCCCCACACACACACTTTTTGTTGCTGTGAGGTGAAGCATTGGAAAATTCCAGGATTATTTGGACAGTTAATTAGGTTTTTTTTTTTTTTTTTTTTTTTTTTTTTTTGCTTGTCAGATTAATTTGGGAAAGTTGCCTCCTCCCACTTTTTGGTCAGTGATTTTTTTTTTAACTTTTATCTTAATTGCTTGTCAGATTAATTTGGGGAATATTGATGAGTAAATGAGATTAGACTATCTTTTTGGTGCTAGATCCATTATGACGTTATAATCGATTTAGGGTGAGTTAACCATGCATCGGACACATACCTTGCTTCGGACAACTTTAAGTAATAAACTTTCATTGAACCCGAGTCTCCTCCTGTTTTTACTTGTTTCTGTCTTAAAGGGGAAGATTTAAACTTTTTAATGATGCCGATTTTTATTTTCATGTTGTGATAAAAATACCACAAGAATGGCCTTGAAGTTACGTCATATTTTGCATCATCAAAGGGGAGTAACCAGAATTTTACCATTTTGCAATTTTTAGAGTTGTCGTTCTTTTAAATGGACGTCAACGGAACGGGTCGGACCTAGGTAAAATTTATCAATAATTGATTATTTTAGAGAATTTTTTCAAAACTTTTACTTCAATGTTTGAATAATATATTTTACAGTTGTTTTTTTTGTAGTATATTTATTTCACCGTACATCGGACACAAATTAACCATGCATCGGACACTTTCCGATGCATGGGTAATCACTTCCATTTTCATATAAAACCCAAATGACAGCTGTTTTTTACGGAAATAAAAAATAGAAACTCTAAATATTCAGTGAAAATACAAATTATCGATATATGACGACTAGAAGTGGACTCAATTTATTTCTTTAAACTAGATGATGATAACCCACGAGACAAAGGCGCGAGTTGCCATATTACTAGTACTGTAAAGCCTTTCTAAGGCGATGTGATGCAACTAAAATCTCTTCACATTTGTGGATCGAAAAAGTCATTCAAATTTAATTAGAAGTTTAATTTTTAAATAAAAGATAAAAATGTTTCGATATCACTCATTTTAAAGCACGGAGATCAAGGTATGATATTTTTCTGGTTTAAATATCGTATGTCCGATGCATGGTGAATATTGTCCGATCCATGGTGAATTCTTACTTATTCCGAAAAAATCGGTTTTTAATGATATTTTCTCAATAAATAGGGCGCGGTTGTGTCAAAAATTTATATTTTAACCACGATACTACATATTAAGTTCCATTTTGATAATATTCGGTCGGTAGCGATATCGCTAGAACTTGTTGAAGTGCGAGGGTGTCCGATGCATGGTGAATTCACCCTAAATACTTTTTTTAAACTTTTCCCGTACTTCACGGCTGTAATAGAATTATGCAGAATATGAAGCATTTTCGTGGAATTCAATTTGAAATCATGTCAAAAGTAACCCCGATACCTTTATTCAATATAATAGTATTTTAAAGTAGAGGTCAAGAATTTAAGATACACAAAACATCGTTTTCTGAGAGACTGTGGCCAATATTGATACATTTCCTTTTTCTGACGTGGAACCCCCCCCCCTGAAATTTCACCTGATTTTCTCATTTTTCATTGAAAATAACAATTTAAAATATGTATTTTTCGTTGAGTTTACCTAAATATTATGCCCCGATACACCTTATTTTACCAAACTATATCTGTAAACTTAAAGGATCATTAAAAGAACTTATTTCTCAAACTAAAAAAAAATCTGTAGGCCCTGCACCTTCCATTTACTAGATCTTGACCTTAATATTTAATGCATTTTTTCTTTCTCAATGAGATATGATGATTTTGAATAATAATAATACGACCATATCTCTCTAGGCTGCTTCGTTTATTTCATTACACCTTTCTTTTGTTTTCTATTAGTTTTCATCAGCAAATGCAAGCGCTCTGCCACGGTCAAAGGGATGTAACTCTAGTTTTGTTGACACAAGCTATCAAGTACTGACTGCAAGTTCGGTTGTGTGAGAGGGAAAGAGAAGATGCCTCTCAAAAACATCCCAAAATGTTTGTCACCAAACCTCCTGCATGCCCTGGCATCCATGGGACATGGGGATGAAATTGGTACTGAACGCTTCGAAAGAATATACAATTTGTTAGATGTTGCTTCATTTATCCATTGTAACTTGAATTTACTCTGCAAGTCTGAAACTAAAACTGACTGAACTTTGGTCAAGCATAAATAAATGATAACAATAAAAAGAAAAGTAAAAAAAAAAAAACTTATTAGACAACACATTAAGTAGCCTGTTAATTTGTGTCCATTTTGTTATTAACTTCAGTATTAGCTGATGCCCATTTTCCATCGTCTTCCATATGTAGAGATGGTCCAATTGAAGTCAGAGCGGATGGTGAGAATTTTATTTTGAATTGTTGGAATGTTAAGAAAGCTTATTTCACACAAAATAGACTTTGTTCTTAATGTGTACATAGTGATAAAGAAAAGTGATTTTTTTTATAGACAATGAATAGACAAACAGAACATCCCATACATTATATAAAAGCTATTTCAACCTATTGGCACCTATACCCAAAGTTTCACTTTTATCATGAATTTATTTGATGGGTGTACAGTGTACATACTTATATAGTAAAACTAATACTCAAATGACAATGATTTTTCTCTGACAGGACTAGATATACCTACCCTTTTGGATGGAATTCTACAGTTGCTTCCCCTAGACACATATGTTGACTCCCCAGTAAGTAACAGTTGTTGTTATCCCCAACTTCTACAGAACTATCATATTTTAAACAAAATAATTTTTAAAAATCTGTTGTTTTCGAATAGTTATTAAATTTGAAGGATAACAAACCTCATTTATAATATGCAAATTTTGAAAATAAAATGGAAAAAAAAACTTACCTTGAAAGTGATCGAGTCGTAATACATTGACCCAACTTTATGTTCCACACAGGTAGCATTAATGGACCCAGTCCAGAGTGATAAAGACAGCCACATCCAAATTCCTGTTTGGGACAAGTACAAGGAGATTATCAAACAGAGGGAGGGACCCAGTGTATGTCAGTAATCCATTTCTAAATCTGACCTGTGACAGTAAAGCTTCCAGCTGGAAATCCTTCAGCTTTGGATACATTTCTTTGCTCAGCATACAATAATGATGCTTATAATTACTGATACAAATGTAGTTGAAAATGTGAAAATTTCCTTATCTTAAATATTTGGCAATTTGAACTTTCATAGTCTGTATTTAATAGTTCTTTTTTATGTTGAGACACTGATGCTTATTAGTCATTCATCAAAGTTTCCCTATCATCAACCTTCCATCTTAATACAGTATATTCCATATACCCTTACAAATGAAGTGTTTGCCCCTGCATATATGTTAGGTTTTCTGCTGAATTACTGATAGATTTCTATGTAGGAAAAAGAATAATTTCAAGATGAGAGATTCTGATTAGTTGTGGGCTGAATATGTAAGCTTGTAAACATTGTGTTGGGAACCATACCATAATTTAGGCTCATTGGTATGTATCTGATCTATGGAAACTCAAGATTTTGATGTATAATATAGATGTACTTGAACCATTTTGCCAAGTTTTATGGTTCTGTATGCATCTTGAAAGTAAACATTATCACCATTTGGAGAGCACTAATATTTTGTAGCATCACTAACGTTGTGTTCTTCATTACAAACGTTGTGTCATCCTGAATCCACTTATGGCTGTTGGACCCCCAACAAACTTCAGATTTTTACATCAGGCTGACTGCTTTGATGTCATTTGGGGAAATTACCAATCTTGATGTTTTTCTTATCACTTGACCAATCACAAAAAGCCTTTCTGTGACAAACAACGTGTAACATGTGTATTGAGGTGTCAACAGCTTTCTTTCTGTTTACATTTTACATCAACTTACATGTATGAAAGCCCCAATTTAACTGGTGCTTCTCAGTGAAAAAAATGAAGTTTGTCAGGGGTCCCACAGCAATAAGTGGACTCGGGACCTGACATTGTGAGCTTGTAGCAGAGCAAACATTATCAAATAATCAATTTGGAAATTTAAAGAATAGTTACCAATACAGTGAATATCCTGGTGAAATCTGTGTGTTTGTTCTAGGTGGAAATCGAGTATGTTGAAAGATTTGCATTTTATAGGAGAGCAAAGACAGCCTATGCCATTGTTCACACAGGGTAATGCTCTTTCACACGATTTCATTTTTTTTTCCCTCTCAATCATTTTTTTAACAAAACACAAATGCATAATTGTGATTTTGATAAATTATTTGCATCATATTGAAATAAATGTGAGCAAATGAATTATTGTATAATGAATATTTCAAAGTTGTACAGCTTCTGCTATGTTCCTGCTTGTATTCACAGAAATTAAAAAAAAAAAGAAGCAAATATTTAAATCCCACATCTTTATTTTGATGTTTGTCTGGAATCGTAAAATCTACAAAGCAGAAATTTTATGTTTCAAGTCACAAAAATTATCCACTGTAATTTGGTACAATGTTGGACAAATTAATTAACCATAATTGTAAAACCAATTAACCCTTTAAAGACGCTTCACATTTGAAATTTACATTTCAATGGTGATTTAACTTTCTTTTTTTCATCTTCTGCAGAGAGATGGCAAAGTATGGGAACATCATTTTGAAGAAAGGTCTAGCTCTTTGAACTCCAGCTCCCGAATTCTCTTCATTAATTACACCATTGGAAATCCTCTTGTCATGAACACTTGTGATCATCTAGGCATTTCATTTAATTATTACATGTACAAACAAATATATAAATTAATATAAATTAATGTTTTTTTTTATACTTTAACAATTTATATGTTATGAAAATGAAACAAAGAAAACAGTTATTGTGTAATTCTTCTCAAATCTTGAAAACTTCAAAATAACATAGACCAACACTAAGCTCTTCATTATTTTGAGGAAGAAAAGCAATCTCTTAGCAATTTACACATAACACTTAAATCAAGGACACACAAGTGCAACTTGTCTAAATTACCGTTATATGCAATATACTAAGCACTACTTGTCTAATTTATCACTATCATTTTTGTGACAGTGTGTGCAAGGAGCAAAAGGAGAACTGGCAAAAAGTAGTAACTGAATAAAATTGTATATAAAGAGGATGCTCCAGCAAGCAAATTGCACTTTCCCAAGCTGGCATCTGTATGTGAGGTTGTTTTTAAATAACACTGGGACAAAATTTATCTCCCTTTAATAGCTTGACTTCTTTTTCTACACAAGTTGCCTCCCTTTGTTAGGTGTTGTACCAGTCCAGGAAAAGTAGTGACAGAGTCAGTAGGAGGAGAAAAAATAAAATGTACACACGGAAACCAGCACTGTTCTTCATAGCCTGGAAAAAATATATTAATGAAAGCTGAGCGAAAAACAAACTCTTAGATTTTCAGTGTATTGCAGTCAAAAAGTGCAAGACGCTAGACCCATGGGCCAAAAAACTCATCCGAATCACAAATCACTTTATTTTTTATTAAGAAATATTTTCAGAAAAATAATTTAGAAATTGAAAATATGGAAATTAAATTTGATCATGATGGCCATCTGCTCCTGTAGAAGAATTTAACAATCTAAAATATTTGCAAAACAGAGAGAGATAATGGCCAGACTTAGATAGATTAAACTAGAGGTACTTTGAGCTCACACAATCATACCTCCTGCTGCATTTTTGTTAAAGTGTACAATTAATCTTGAGCTTGTCAAAATGACTTTGGTTCAAGAAAACGAAACCCTCTGGTCATCAGTAATCTTTGTGTGAAGCATGAATTTCAATTTTGTCTTTATTGGAAATTACAGATTGGGCATGAAATTTACATTTTTCTGCCAATGTCCTTGAACTTGCCTAAATGACCTTGGGTCAAAGTTATAACATACCCTCAGCTCACAATAAATCTTTGTTTGAAGTATCAATTGCCAATATTTGTCCATATGAGGGTAATTTATGAACTGGACATGAATTTAACACTTTTTTCTGCCAAGAACCTTTAACTTGCTCATATGACCTTGGGTCAAGGTCATGACACAATCTTAGGTTATAAGCAATGTTTCTCAGAACTTTCTCCTTTACAATGTTATGTACAAAACACAAATTATACACATTTTCTGCCATAAACCTCAAACTTGCTATAATGAACTTGGTTCAAGGTCATGAATAGGCAATCATTGTACTAAGTATGAGCTTTCAATGTTTCTCCATTATGCCATATGGTCTGAACATGAATTACAGTATGCCTTTTTTCTAAAGGTGACCTTGAACTTGACCAAATGACCTTGAGTCAAGGTCGTAGCACACCTTTAGGTATTTTTCAAAAAGAAAGTTATGGACTTTGAGTGTGTTTTGCCAGTGACCTTAAACTTGCTTGAAGACCTGTCGAGGTCATGACACACCCTTTGTTCATAAGCAATCTTTGTGTGAAGTATGAGCTTCCAATGATCCTCCATTACAAAGTCATAGCTCACACAAGCTTGTACAGACAAACAGATGGACAAAGTATTTCCTATATACTTCATTTGTTGGGGTTTTTAATAAATTCCTGCATGTCAAGGGAACCAGATGGATTGTACTCTCATTTTCAATTGGGGATCAATTGAAATTTAACCTAATACTTTTGTAGATTAGTATAATTTTAACCTGTCTGATCTCCTCATTGCCCTCTTTAATGTTTTCTGTGGAGCCAACAACAACCTGCTCAATTCTGTCTATGTCTTTCTCCTGTCAATACAAATGATGTGTACAATTGTTTTTCACTATTTTCTTGAACATTTTCATGTTAGGTAAATTAAAAGTAAACATTTTTAATCATTCTGTGTGTTTGTTTTTTTTTAACACAAATGTCAATATTTGATTTATTGGTTTTTTAATTATTCCGTTTCCATTGGAACAGACTATGTGATCTTAAATTTATATGTTTTTTGTACAGTTAAATACCATAATAATAATAATGTACTCTTTGTTGGTATGGTATTAGAGTTAAAGGGAGCTAACCTGTTCTAAAACTTTCTCTGTGAAGATTTCTTGAAGTTTGGCAATTTCCATGACTTTACCCTCTATTTGACTGTAAAGAAGAACACATTTATAAACATCAAAGAAAAAAAAAGAACAAACAAACACACAAACAAATTAACAAACAATATATCCCAAAAGACACACCAGAGGCAAAACTTGACCTTCAAAAATCAAGTTCCAATCTGATTTTTATGCCCCCGTATCGAAGATTCAGGGGTATATAGTTTTTGCCCTGTCTGTCCGTCTGTCTGTCTGTTTGTCTGTTTTTCCGCAAAAACTTTAACCTTGTCTATAACTTTTGATTGGTTGGAGCTATGGCTTTCATATTTCACATGTGTATTCCTTGTGACAAGACCTTTCTTTGGGTACGACCATATTGGACCTTTTGACCTTGACCTTGGAGTTTGACCCAGTTTTGCAAAATTTTTCCAAACTTTGACCTTGGCCATAACTTTTGAATGGTTGGTGCTAGGGCTTTCATACTTCACATGTGTAATCCTTGTGATAAGACCTTCCTTTGAATACAAACAACTTTGACCATGACCTAGGAGTTTGACATACTTCTGAAAAAATTTAACCTTGGCCATAACTTTTGAACGGTTGGTACTAGGGCTTTCATACTTCACACAAGTAATCCTTGTGACAAGACCTTCCTTTGGATACCAACAACTTTGACCCTTTGACCTTGACTTTGGAGTTCGACCTACTTTTTGAAAACTTTAACCTTGGCCATAACTTTTGAATGGTTGGTGCAAGGGCTTTCATACTTCACATATGTAATTTTTGTGACAAGACCTTCCTTTGGATACCAACAACTTTGACCCTTTGACCTTGACTTTGGAGTTCGACCTACTTTTTGAAAACTTTAACCTTGGCCATAACTTTTGAACGGTTGGTGCAAGGGCTTTCATATTTCACATATGTAATCCTTGTGACAAGACCTTTCTTTCAATACCAACAACTTTGACCCTTTGACCTTGACCTTGGAGTTTGACTACTTTTGGAAAACTTTAATTTTGGCAATAACTTTTGAACGGTTGGTGCTAGGGCATTCATATTTCACCTGTGTACATGTATTTCTTGAGAGAAGGCCTTTCCTTGGGCACCATTAATTTTGACCTTGACCTTGGTGTTTGACATACTTTAGAAAAAAACTTTAACCTTTTCCATATCTATTCAATGGTTGCTGTTAAGGCTTTCTTATTTCACAGGTTTATTCCTCGAGACAAGACCTTACTTTGGGTACCAACATATTTGTTTTGCATTTGAGAAAGTTTAACCTTTGCTATAAGCTGCCATACGGAGGCATCAGTGTTTCATAAACACATCTTGTTTTTTAATGATTTCCCCTTGCTTGAGAGTTACATTTCTTAAATTAGCATATTTTCAATAAATGAAAGACCTTGGCCCATGAACGCATTTTTTGAAAGATTGCATGAATTTTGATCAAGGGTTTCTTGAGTTATGACAAACATTCCAGAATATGTTCGCACATCAATCAAATGGCCACAGCATTGCACCTTTCATATAGGTGAGGTTTACATGTATGGCTCAAATTTAAGCAGTACATGTACTAAAATTCTTAGTTGATTGCATTGAAGGAAAGCAAAATCAATGTAAAAGAGACAGAATTAAATATGTTAAGCATTACTTACCCAACTTCTTGTGACATACTGGTCATCTCCTCAAATAATGCTGCATTTTCTTTCTCAAACTGAAATGACACCACAAAGAAAAATTCAAATTATGTCCTTATAATACAAAGTAAAAACAGAACATGCACAAGTATTATCCATCAGCCAAATCTTCAAAGAAAATTCACACCAGTCTTAATGTGCCTAATTCCAAATGACTAAATCATAAAAGATCTATAGAAGAGACACACTATAAACTTTTGTCTAAACATTTTGTCAAACATCTTGAATACCATGGATATGTCGAAATGATTTGAAGTCCTAAGCACTTTTCTCTTTAAGTATTTTACCCTCGATCAATATCTCTAACCCACAGATATCTCGAATTTTTTTTCTTGGTTCCATCAAAATTGAGATAACATGATTTGACTGTATTTTAGTCTTCACACAATTTGACTGTATTTTAGGTCTTCACACGACTTGACTGTATTTTAGTCTTCACACGATTTGACTGTATTTTAGTCTTTACACGATTTGACTGTATTTCAGTCTTCACATGTTTTGACTGTATTTTAGTCTTTACACGATTTGACTGTATTTTAGTCTTCACATGTTTTGACTGTATTTTAGTCTTCACATGTTTTGACTGTATTTTAGTCTTCACACGATTTGACTGTATTTTAGTCTTTACAGGGTTTGACTGTATTTTAGTCTTTACACGATTTGACTGTATTTTAGTCTTTACACGATTTGACTGTATTTTAGTCTTCACATGTTTTGACTGTATTTTAGTCTTTACACGATTTGACTTTATTTTAGTCTTCACATGTTTTGACTGTATTTTAGTCTTTACACGATTTGACTGTATTTTAGTCTTTACACGGTTTGACTGTATTTTAGTCTTTACATGATTTGACTGTATTTTAGTCTTTACATGATTTGACTGTATTTTAGTCTTTACATGATTTGTAACTTACCATCTGAGCCTCCTCTGGTGATATTTCTTCCTCTTCCTCCTTCCTTTCCTCTGTATGTTTAGATTTTGTTGGTGTTCTCTCTTCTACAAGAAAAAACAGTTCTAATGTACTTATACTTGATTAATTATCTCAATTAATTTAAATGTGTTTACAAATGCATAAAACATAGTTACAGCAAGCACGCTTATAATGAATTGCACATAGTGAAGGGATTTGTATTTCCTGTAGTTTTAAAAATATACTGTGAACTTATTTTATATAACAATTTATATTATATATATCAAAACTGTCCATCCATGGCACTTTGCTCTAAGTGTGTTTTACTATACAGTTGAACATCTCAGTTTAATTTGCTTGAAGACAAAGGGGCCGGTAACACACAATGCTTGATTTTTCATGTATTTTTTTTTTTTTTTGCATAAAAAAAGGATCAGGAAAAAAACAAGCATTGTATGTTACCAGCCCCACCATGTTTCAAGATTTTAAGGTTCAACTGTATTACATGTATAAAAAAAATAACATGCTGCACTAGATTCAATGTAAACATTGTTTAGGCCATTCTTAAAAAAATATTTGTTTGCCCTCTCTCGACTCAGGATAAAAAAAAAATTGGTATAGATAGGTAGTAAGAATTTTTTTTTTTATTAAAAAACTTGCAAATATGAAGTTAATATAGTATGATGAGAACATTTTGGAATGATAAAAAAAAATTGTTTCCTGGAGGTTCTAAAAAGTTTTGAGTCGGGCCATTTTTAGTCGGTCGGGAGAGGATAACAAACAATCCATTGAAGGACTTCATCTTATAATTCATGGTTGTTAGTAATTCCTTCCTTGACTAGACTGATCATGCTTACTGGACTGATTAGTGTTTGTCAGTAATTCCTACCTTGACTAGACTGGCTCTGCTCACTAGATTGATAAGTGTTGCTGGTCTCCGTTGGAGAAGACTGCTTGTTGTGTCGTTTTTGTTTTATTAATTTGTCAGGTTCTAGCTTTGACCTTCAAATATATTAAATAATTTATAAATTGTAAGTACTTCTCAGTGATTGCCTACAACTTCTACATATACATACATAATTATATCATACTTGTTTTCAGATTTTCAAACTCCACTGCTTTTACTCTGTCTACCTTTGAAAATATTAGTTATCCAGGTCCAATCAAGGATGTATGGGAATTTACACTGCATTTTATTCCATACACCCTGAGGCCGTAGGCTGAAAGGTGTATGGAATACAACCCGGAGTAAATCCCCGTACACCCTTGATTGGACCTGGATAATGAATTTATTTCCCATGTACCCAAATAAATTCTTTGTAAACAAGTCCAATCAACTGTGTTTCAAGCTATCAATAAGGTTTACTATGCCCTACAATGCATTGTGAAGTCATTTTTTGTTTTTAATCATAGAGAAACTATGCATTGTGACATCACGTTTTTTACCCCCAGGTCAAGTACAGTGTACGGAAATTTACACCCGACTCTGTAACCAATCAAAGCTCGTGTTACAAGCTACATAGGAAATAATAGATGATACCTTCACTCACACCTTATTTTTTTCAAGATGAAAGTACTAGTAATGTAAAGCTGTTCTATTTATGTTACCTTTTCATCTCTACCCCCCCCCCCCTTTTCCAAGCTGTAACCTTGACCATAACCAAATAATTATGGCTTAGAACCATGAAAAATCTCTTGGATACAAGAATCTTTAAATTTGTGTCAATTATGAATCTTGAAGCTCCTATATCAGAAATTGTCTTTTAAATTTTAAATTTCTGAAACCATTCAAATTAAACACTTCTGAACCCTGTTATCTTGCCTTGTCTAAATGGCATTTGCTCAGGGTCATCACATATTGTAATATTTGAAAAGTTATACATATGACAGTGGAAAAACACTGCAAAGAAGGTCTGAGTGCTTTTGTTGACAAAAAATTACAGAATTCTGACTTAATACCAAATAAATAAATAAAAAAAAAATAAAAAGTGAAAAAATTGAAAAAAATAAAAATAACGACTTACAATCTTTTTCTATCAACTACCCTCTTCACCCTCACTGCTCTCTGCTCACTGTAAATTTTACAAACCACTGCAAGAAATCATATTCATGTATTTATATCAAGAATGTATATGAGTAAAACATATATAAAATTTCAAAAAATTATTACATGTATTCCGACCTGATTATCCTTCCAAAAACTTAAATCAGCTAGTGTTATCTAAATATTTTTGCATTTCTTTGATATTATAATTGTATCTCAATTTTCTCTAATTCATTTTGAGCATTTAATCTTTACTCTCTAAGAAATTCCTACACCTAAAGATTCTTCACACTTTTGTTCCTGCATACCTTTAAGGTAATCTTCTACAAGTCTGATGACAGCAGCTCTGTGTTCTTTTGTCTGAGGTTGAAGTCGCCCATTTAAGTCTGTTTAAGAATAAAATGAAATACAGTTTAACTTTGGTATCTCGAACATTGATAAAAAGAATACCATGATATGGATAGGTCAAAATGAAATGGAAGTCCAAATCACTTTTTATGTACACATGTATTTCGTTGTCAATACTTCAAGTCCTTGGATGTTTTAAAAGTTTTTTCTTGGTCCCAATGAGATAACAAGGCTTTTATGAGCTTTTCAGAATTAATTAGATGTAACTTACTCTTAATCAGAGACAAAGATTCCTGGCACATGTGGATCACTTTCTCTGCCTCTTCATCAATCTGATCACGTTCTGTGTCAGACATAGTGGAGGTTTCTGCACTAAGGTGGCTACAAAATGTGTTGATAAGTTATTTTGTATGAAGATAAAGTAATACAACCAACATTTCATAAATAAAATCAGATCAAATTCATATTTTTAAAAATTAACATTTTATAGAAACCACTTGTTACATATACATGTATATACAAGTTATAAATTTTAATTGATGCAGTCAACTATACTTGTACATTGTATTATTAGTCTTGTTAATTACCTTCCAGTGCTAACATATGCCTTCCTGTGTTCCAGTAGGAAATCTTTCAATTTTGTAATACTCTGCACCTAAAAATGTCATACTTCATATATAAATGACTCATCTGATATTATAAACATATAGTACAATCAATAAATTTAAATATTAGCTTGCTTGAATAGATATTCATTCAGAGACATGTTAAGTTTTGTCATATATCATACATGTATATACATGTATCAAGATTTGAATTTCATGTTCATTTTTTCATTAACTGGATTGTATTTTAGTGTGATTCTAATATATGAATTATGTACTGATAAAGTGTGATTCTAATACCAAATAATCATTATCATCAGTAAATTTACCATAACCGTAATGGTGGGGCGGCAATATGTACACATATAATATTTGCAAGCTATGGCAATAACATGTACAGGATGGCGGCCCAGGATGACAATATCATGGCAGTATGGTATGGACATTTGTATTAAAAAGAATAAGAAAGTTACATGGAGTTCTTATAACATATACATCTGGTGATCAGGTGCATAGCTGCCTATACACAAGTACGCAAGTGCATACACATCATTTTCATGAGAAAAAAATATAGGTAATAGAGAGAGAAAGAGAGTTATTCAGGGAAAGAAAATCTCAGTCAATATCATTAAGCAAATATTTTTGTTTCAAATTATTTTTTGTCATATTACTTCGAATAAAATTTTGCAGTATCATGTCTATACAATCAAATTTGAAATGTAGTATTAAATCATTGCCAAACCCAAATAACTCATTCATTAGTTTGTAAGTGTTCTATAACAATTGACAATTTTTAAAGATATTTGAAGAATTAAATTTTAATCATATTGTTAAATGGCTTGATCAAATAGTATATGATTTAAAATATTTTTTTTCTACTAACATTTATTATACTTAATTGTTGCTGAACATTATATTGTAAGTGCAGACCAATATATTGGTAAAATATTCAGCCTCAAGTACATGTAAAAATAAGTTTCTGTGGAAGTTAAACTTTCCGTTAAAAACAATCTTACTAAGTCTTTTATTTCTAAAGAAAAGCGAAACAGCATGATATTTCCTGCAAGAAAGTGATTGAAATATTTGGTAAAACCCAGGAGCTTCCGGGGGCTTCGCCCCCTGAGCCCCCACCAGGGCTTTGCCCTGGACCTAGGGCGGCCCCCAGACCCCCCTACCATTCTACACTTCACTCCCATTCTGGCTACGCGCCTGGTGATACATTTATTAAAGAATAAGCCATCTGGCAAAAAGCTGCAAATTGTGTTACAAACTGTTTATGAAATAGCGGAATAGACTGTATATTTTTCCCTATTTTTTTTAAAATTTGATGGCAGAGTTCAATAAAAAGCAGATTTCCATTGAAAATGTACATTCTGAAAGAATAACATATCCATGTAAACTGTAAATATGTATTATGTAAGTTGTAACAGTGCTAAAATAAATATGATGAATGTCAACTTACTATTTCTTTGCTTTTCCTTTCAAAGTCGCCTTTGTGTTTTGATGATGGTAAAATATTAGTAAACGTCTGCGATTTCTGGCCATCTCCTGTAAATTTCTTTCTGGTTCGCAAAGCTTTCACTGTTGCTTTAAAAACGTTTGTAATATCTGCCATTTGGATGATCTCTTCTTCTCCAACGTGTGCACAATCTCAAGGCAAAATTTAGAAACGTTTCGAATGCTCCTGAAAATGAAAGTAGAGTTCCGAGTGTAGTGTTGTAAAGTACTGAAAACGTTTGAAGCTAAGTCAATAATTGCTGGACTCAGATAAGACATTGGAACACTTGATCAAGTTGTTGACAGGAAGGTTTGCCGTTTGGGAAAATGCGAAAAAGACACAAAATATGGACAAAATGAGAAATTTAGAAGTAGTCTCATTTGTAATTTTATTCTTTTTCCCATTTGTGACACATTGTGATGAACAGGAGTGCTACAATGGCACATGCAAGTCGGAATACGTTCCCCATGGACCTTTGGTTCACTGTAAATACTTGTGAGTACAGCATTTGATTCACATTCTGTTTTGTCAGAAGAACTTGACTATATAGAAATGAGCTAGGTTAAGGGTTTACATATAAACTAACCACAATTTAAATTTTGGTAGACCAATGGAATTTCTTAACTGTTCAGAGCCTCTTGACTTGAATGGGAATGATACAAGACAGAAAGAGCTTGGACATGGATGTTTAAAGGTGAGTTATTAAAAATAATCAGGAAATTCACTATTTCTTCTTTTACATTGTAGTGATTAACAAGATACTGTAAATGTACATATGTATTCACTCAAAATGTAGCACAATCTTCCTTATCAATTGATTAGTGTATTCTAATCATAAATTAGTGCACTTGCAGCAAGTCTTCTCTGTTTAAATCAGGGATGGCAATTTGTAAATGGTTAATCGGCTTAAAAAAAAAACAAACAAACAACTTATTAAAGTACACATTCAGCAGTACTTTGGGACATTGCATTTGGTTCTTTAAATATTCATAGCAGATACTACATAATGTATTTGTGATTGACACATTAATACTCTTTTAGTATGGAGGACAGAGACATGAGGACATTGAGTACACAGGTGTGGTGTGTTCAGTTCTACAGGGAATCGCTTGTTACGGAAACAGAACTTTCATAAAGGAGGGGTTTCCTTGCATCAAGTAAGTATTAAATCTGGTTGTGAAGCTTATGAAGTGTGTCTCTTTACATTTTGCACATGCAGATCACTTGTTTATGTGAAAAGAAAAAACTAGTAAACTTTTAAGTCATTGGGTAAAGATAACTTTAAAAGAGCTAGGTTAGCTTTGTGGTGACCAGACGGGTTAGATTGCTAGTGGCCAGATTGCTCAGTTGGTAGAGCACCTGACTGGAGATTCAGGGAGCCCAGGGTTCAAATTCTGGTCCATCACATTTCATACATGTGATTCTTCCGGTGGGAGACAAAAACTCCCGATATTTCACCCCCCTTCCGCCCCTCCCGATTAATTTTTAAATCTTCCGTGTTTTAAAATTCTTCAAATTAAATATTATTTGCAATATTTTTTAATCATATTTCATATAATTGCTCAGAATGAAAAGAAAGTGAGATAACAACGCCAGTGCAATAAATTTACACAGCGGTAGGCTTCGTAGGAATCAACATGAGGTCGTATAATTATGTTGTAAAAATTAGTGATATATCAACTTGATAAAAGACCATTGATGTTTATTACTGAATGCAAAACATTGTAATTAGTTGCTAAAATATCCAGTTGCCATCTTCCAATGCTGCTTTGGTCATTAAAAGATACAGTTATAATGTAGGTCACACTCTAGTTAAAAATAGATCACACTACAGGGTGTTGCTAAAATATACCCAACTCTAATTTGTTTATTTTTTTAGAGGGTACTTTTTGTCATCTGTACATATTCTATTTAAAAAAAACAAATTACTGACATAGAATTTGTTACATAAAACTTTAGAATGTTTTACTTCACTTACTAGTTGATATATCAATACTAAATCAAAAATAAAATTTTATCCAATGTTTTAATGATGCTGTTAACTCTTAATTAATTTACTAGGAAATGAGTTGATTTTATTTTGAATACTCAATTTCACTTCATTTGAATAAAAACTTTATCATATTTTTCTTAAAACTAGACAACAACTTTATAAAATAAAATTTGTAAAGTAATAAACTGGGAGAAGGTATTTTTTCCTGAATTTTGGGGGTTGGATGGTCTTTTGCGATTTGAAAAAATGTCGATAAAAAATCTCCAGCTTTGAGACCCAAACTCCAGCTGAAAAATTTCAAATCTCCAGTTGTGATTTTTCAGTTCTGTCACATGTATGACATTTTTCTCCTTTCCTGTTACATTTGGTGCCAGGCCATGCTCTGGATGTGACAGGTGAAAGACCTGCCAGGGAAGAGCCTGGGTTGGTGTCTTTGGGGTGAAGACCCTTAAGGATAGAGGAGTGTGGCGGTCAGACGGGTTCGATCACTGTTGGTCAGATAGCTAAGTTGGTAGAGCACCTGACTGGAGATTCAAGGGGCCCAGGTTCGAATCATGGTCTGGTCCGTCACATTTTTCTCTCTCCTGTTACAGCTTTATTCACAAATACCTAATTTAGTATACCTGCAAGTTCTAATCAATTGACATCCTAAATGTTGATCCACTGTCAAACATCAATCGATATAAAGACCGAGACTTTGTACAAATAAAAAAGGTTCTTATAAGATTTCATTTAGTGTAGTAGGACTTGACATGTTAAACATTCATGATTTACATTCAAGCAACCAATTACCTCTATTTAAAAAATATAGTAATTGCATGTAATACTAGTACATTGTATTTTCTTGACTTTTCAAGTACCGGTATATGTAGTTGAGCAGTTAAAAGCATTTGCAGCAAACTTCCTGAATTCACCTACAGCATATATTGTAAAGTTTGTAATATCAAACTTATATTTCACTTTTGATATTTTATACTTTCTGTCAGTGACATATTGCTACCCTTTATGCTATGTCCGATTAAAGCGATCTAAAGGCCTGTGAGTGGAATATAGATTGCTACTACTTCTCTTTTTCCTTAAGTAAAATAAGTTACAATGCAGATGATTGTCTTTTGCAATAAATTGTTAAAAGTTTTCATTTTGCTGATATTATATACAGTAACACCATTACCTTTGTTTGACACAGATACAATGGACACTATTTTGTGACCACCCTTATCTATTCAGTGCTACTGGGATTTCTGGGTATGGACAGATTCTGTCTGGGACACACAGGCACAGCAGTGGGTAAATTACTGACTCTGGGAGGAGTGGGAATCTGGTGGATTGTGGACATTGTCCTCCTGGTCAATGGGATGTTGACCCCTGATGACGGCAGTAACTGGGTCCCTTATTATTGAGTCATTAATTAATTATAAAACACGATCTCATATTGCACCAGCATATTGTAATTATTCATATATATAGTGGAAGATATTTTATTATTTAAATAATTCTTGTAAATGTATATGAGTAGATTTTTTTTTTTACATTTATGAAGTCGTAGTATGGCACAAAGAAGAAAAAGCAATTGCTCAATGTACCTATTCTGAGGCTTGTATTTGACATAAATATATTTATTGAAGGTTTGCAAAACCTATTATTATACCTTGTTATAATTATTCTATACAACATGTTATCTGATTGGTTCTAGATTATCACATGACAGGGCCATAAAACTTCACATTTCCCTGTCGTTGTCATGCTTTTCATCATATTCAACCTCTTAGGAGACCTGGTACATTTTCCCACAATAGTTATCGTTCGTTGAACGAAAACTCCCGATAATAGTTAAGACGTCACAATAGCCTGGTTCACGTCATAAAGTTGCTGATGGACTTCTATAAATGGTTTCAGTAACACTACTTTAAAATTGAAAGTGAATTTAAGAGCCGTGCCGAATTTGAAAGTTTTTGTTTATTTTAAAGTTTTTGCTTGTTTTGGTATAATAAACAAAATATTGCATGAATGTTTGGGAAACATGAAGATTTATTCAGCCAAGAAATATATTCCTCTTGGGCGAAGCCCTCGGGGAATATGATTTTACCTGGCTGAATAAATCTTCATATTTCCCTCACGATCATGCAATAAATGTATAATGTGTCATAAATTCTAGTTAAGAACTTAATTCTTGTTCTGTATTTCAAGCTCAATGATATTGACTTTTGTGATTTATTATCTAACACAGCAGTATATCATGTTGATGTATTGAGCAAGTATTCTCGATCCTGTTTTAATGTACATGTTGTCTTGCTGCTTGGGGGGATTCTGAAGTACATGTAATTATGTTACAGTTAGAAGAAATATTGTCCATTGAAATATTAGAATCATTCAAATTACTCATTTTGAAAAACTCACATTTTGTATAGAAAAAAATACATCTTTTAGCAAACAAATGTTGCATTGATATTGGTGCAAAAAATGCTGGACAGATTACAGATGTCCAATTATGAGCAATTAAATGCAGCAATAATAGCCAAATTCGGAATTCCTGTATTTGTACTAATTGTAGTATGTGGTACATGTGTATGAATTTAATTTCAATTTAAATCATTAAAAACACAATCCCAGAAATAATTTCAAATTAGTTTATTTGATTTGTTGTCTTTTGTTATTTACATATATTTTCTACAGTTGTTTACAAGCACTGTACCAAAAAATACTAATGAAAGAATAAAGCATAATTATGCATTATAAACTTAACCAGAGTTGTTTTATCTCTTTTCTCAACAGTTTGTGCTTAACAAAAAAAAATTAATTTTCCAAAAACTGAAATCAATTCCATCAAAATAGAAATGTTTACAGTTCATGAATTAAATGGCTTGTCTTAAACAATCAAAGAAGGGACAGTTACACTGTTTATTTGCACATGATTTATTACAAATTAAAAAAAAAAAAAACTGGTGTAAAAAAAAACCTGACTACGATCCATAATAGACAAGTCCTGTATATATATTATTGCACTTTGTGTGTGTGGAGAGTCACTTTACAACCTTGTGACCTCAAAGCCTTCCCTGTGTTCATTAAAAAATAGTGCATTTTTATCTTCAATATCTGTGCCGACATAAACAGGAGTAAAAAAATTATTTCAAATCAACATGCTCTTCTGCATTTAGGTCTTTTCAAAATTCAACAATCAAATACCGTAAATTATAATTTGGAATGGAAGGTAATTTAAACTCCATAAATTCTCAATACACCCTGCATGTAATGTGTGTAAAAAAAATCAAAAATCCAACTTTATATAACTGGTTAGGGCTATTCCAGGAAAAATTGTATGGGGGGGTTGGAAGGCACTTTTATTTTTACCCCACCACCCATACATTTTTAATTACCTTCTACCCCACCCCCCATCAATTTAAAATTGCTTTTGATACAACCACCCATCTAAATTTAAAAAAAAAAATTGTGTCACACATATATATGCAATACAATTTTATGTACTTTTTCAGGTATTGTAATTTATCTGACTTTGAATGAGTGTTGGGTTTTGACATCTATCCAACCAGGGCCCGTTTTACAAAAGAACTTATGACTAAGATTAAAATGTTATTATGCAAATAAATTTCTTTTTTGCATTACTTTAAAAATGTTTTAAATCTTTTTGAAAAAAAATAAGATAGTTTTATGCCAACAATTTTTAACAGAAACATAAGTTTTGTAAGATTTTATGAACAACTAAAGTTTTTAGTCTTAGTAATAAGTTTTTTTGTAAAACAGTTCCCCATGTTCCTGCTACAGCTTAAAAAAATATGTTCCTTTAGGCCTATGATACACACCACTGAAAGCCTTTATTATAGTGATTTGTATATCTGTTCTTATGCATGACTTTGTAGTCTGTAAAGCTTAGGTAAAGCTTTTACAAGTATGTATACACATGCACTAGTAGAAATGACATTCCTACAATTAATTAAAATTAATATTGTAAATTATAGCCTAGCTATCCTTAACAATTGTTGTTCACCTTGTTCATAACAAAATGATTCCTGCTTTTTTTCTTTTTTTTTTTTGGGGGGGGGGGGGGGGACTAAAATTCTGTAGGCAGTGTCTGTGAAGTGAAAACTTTGATTAAAAAAAATATATTTAATGAATTCTAAATCCCATCTAACAACTTAGACCATTGGTGCATACAAGTTCAACAAGTTAACACTTAACAGGTTAAGGACTGGCATGTTTTTGACATAATATATTTCACATTGTTTTCAAACTCATATCTCATCTTCGTTTTACTCTGTGCGTGGTATAAAGTAAAATATTTGACTTGCAAACTCCGTAGTCATGCTCTAAACCGTTCATTATCAGATACGTTTTTTTCTACTTTCGGTTTAAAATAAAACGATCTTTCTGATTGTTTCTAATATCATTTAATTTACCAATGTAATTATGTTTGATTAAACTGGCGAAAAGAAACTGGACCAGCGAGTCCAAAGCACAACTAATCCGTTTTCCAATCCCCCACTGTCATTGCAGTCACAGTTGCACATGCTTTTATAGTTATCTGCCCTTGTTTCCGTTTTGTTCGATTCTACTTTCACTTTCAATGTAAACACACTTTACAACTGTTTAGGACGAAAATATCAGTATTTACCGATTTATACAAAATGAGAGGAAAGAAATACTTTGCACTTGATTATTTGTGAGGGTACATACAACCACCCATCTAAAAATATATCGAGTGAGGACAACCACCCATACAAATTTAATTGCTCCAGACCCACTACCCATACAAAAATATATGAAGTGCCGTCCAACCCTCCCGTACATTTTTTCCTGGAATAGCCCTTAGAATTTTCTTGAAGCTGATTCTTAGATAAAGTTCAGTACTTAAAAGAAATTAATAATCTTAAATGACTTTTAACAAGAGATATGTAGAAAACAGTGATTGCAGAATGTAGGGGCAATATCAAAGCTGAACACAAAAGCTTTATCGTGTAAAATTTATAACATTTAGTGTTTTATTGATGGACACTTTCGAAGGATGTTGATTCAAACCACAATATCTTCCATGACCTTGAAAGTCCAGACAGTCATACAAATGGGCAAAATCAACTCCGTTATGAACAGTGGAAGACCACCTGGCCATTATACCAATACTGACTGTTTACTGGAATGCACCTCATTTTCAATATCTCGGGGCAAGAATGTTTTCCATATCAGCACTAACAATAAAAAAATATGACTAATCAACCATAGATAATAAATACAGTTGCTGCAAATTAATTGTATACACCATGCTTATACCACTTAAAATGTAACAAAAAAAAAGCATTTGTTCTTTTCCCACTCCCCTCCCTGCATCAACTGTCACATGTTTGTAGGTTGATCATAAATAGATGGTTTCTAGCTTTGTACATGGTTAGAATGTCTTTCTGTGAATGGCCTTCACTCCTTCTTCATTATATTCACGTTTTGACACCCACATTTTCTTGAAAGTGTCCAGGGAAGCTAAAATGGAACCACTGAAAAGAAATTGATAAAGGTGAATCTACATGTACATCATCAGAGGAAACATGTACAGTGTACTTGTATCATATATAAAAGTAAATCTATTGAACTTACCCTATCCAAGTTGAGTATAACCTTTCTTGAGGAGCAGATATCTAAAATACAAGACAGATTTGCACTAAAATGTGACAAAAGTTTTCAATGGCTCAATCTTCATTTCAATCATGTCTAGAAATAATGTAATTAAAGATGTTAAGCTTGAAAAGATTATATCCTCAACTGCATCCTTGCTAACTTCTAGGGAATAGCTCTTATTCAGGTTTAAAACACACTTTAGTTTTTTTTTTAAAAATGTGCTACATGTGTAAGCAAACAGACTTTCTGCAAGAGACTTTGCTCAATCCCAATGTTTCTACAATACATTGTATTATGTTATGGCCAAGAAACAAAGAAACACATTATGCACAATTTTCCTAGCACAGCATGTACTCATGAATTTAGCAAAATAACTAGAATCAAGACCAAGTTACACCATCAGGTCAGAAGTAGTCTTTGTGTCAGGTATGGGCTTCCCATAAATAATTTCCTGCAATTTTTTTTTAAGTGACCTTGCACTTGCTAAAAAGATCATGGCCTCAGGTAAAAAAGTCACTCAGGTTATAAGCAATCTTTCTATCAAGCATAAACTCATATAATTTCTCAGTTTCAAAACTTTAATCATTGCAAAAATGGACATTGTGACTTCTAAACTTTAAGCTTTTTTAAGGAAAGTGGGGGGGGGGGGGGGGGGGACTATATGCTTTATAGGATACTATCACACTATGAACAGCAAATTGGAAACATCTATTGTAAAAAAAAGTATGTCTGAATTTCAGATTATCATTGATGTAATAAGCTTTCCCTTTTTTTCTTACAAATCCTGACTTTTTCACTAGTATTATTTTTGAAGCTGCAATTATTGTTGGTTTTAAATTCATTGAAAAATTTACAGTTACTAAACGATCAACAGAAAAGCTTTAAATACAATTATCAAAAGTCAAGAATTAAAGTACCGGTACATGTAAATTAGAGTAAAGCAATTAAACTTTGAACTTACCCTAATTTTTATATCTTTTGGGGCTAATTTCTTTAATTCACTTAAAAGTCTATCACCAAATCCTGCAAAGTAGAATATGAATTTTTCAATTTTAAAAGTGAGTAGTCCCTGAAAACTATCTACCACGTACATTTCTAAGAAAATAAAATTACACAACACTACACATTGCTACTTCCTTTTTTATAAGTTCATTGAGTGTATTTCAAATGTTACTTTCAATTTGGTAAAGAAAGAATAAAACAACACTGAAATCAAACTGATACAGCTGATCTTACTTTTGAAAAGTGTTGATCCTCCTGAGAGGACAACATTGGAGAAGAGCATTCGTCGGAGATCCATGTCCGACTTTCTAATGGAGTAGGCAAGCACCTCATGTATACCCTCAAACTCCTCCCCAATTAAGTCTGGTCGAAACAGGACTTCTGGTGCTCGGAACTTAGCAGGACCAATCTAGAGTGAATATGCACATCACATGAATTATATGTCGCAGATAACTTGTTTTGTGTTCCTGAGAAATTAACATTATCAGGTACTGTTGTACTTACTCTAAAATATTGTATATGCATACCTATAATTTACTGGTAAACAAATGGCATACTTTAAGCAAGCAGGCAACAATTATTCAAATTGAAAAAAACAACAGTTTTGTACTCAATGTTGACCCACAATGCATTTGAATTCATATACAACTGTATCTACAGAGTACACACACATATGCATATATTTTTATTTCGACTAACCTCAATAACACTTCCGTCAGGTAAGGTATACTGTGACTTTTCTCCCTCCACTGTCTCCTCTTTAAGAGGATTATCTGACAAGTAGCAGGCTCTCTGTAAAGACAGGCAGTTTGTTATCAAAATAAAAATTTTTTGCATGTCTTTCTTGCTTAATATTACATCAAAAATGCTTGAAACAAACAGTCATGGGTATAATATTTAATAATTGACACAGACTGAAAAACAACTTGCATCATTTATCAACTCAAAGGAAAATAGAGTTTCTAAATAAATTTACATTGTGTTAAAGAAGACTTCCGCATAGATAAACGTGACAATTTCCAAACCTCTTTGATGGTTCTGACAATTTCAAGTTCAGCAGATGTATGAAAATTGTATCCTTCTTTCCTAAGAAGCAGTCTAAGGTACCGGGTAACATCCCTGCCTGCTACATCCGACCTCATTATGCTGTGTGGCATGGCAAAGCCCTCGTATATTGGGACAGCATGTGTTACACCATCTCCTGAATCTAACACTACGCCTGTAGTTTTTCCTGTGGCATATCTGAAGAAAATTCAAAAATCAGTTATTATAACAAAAGGGAAAAAAAATTGAAGAAAAGATTTTGTTTTGTTTTCTTGTATGTGTGTGTGCAATTTACTCTGCAACAAATAACTGCAAAGTTAAGCATCAACTAAAATGACATACAAACTAAGCACTGCCTGCATGGAAATGTACAGAGCTGGCACATTAAAACTCTCGAAAAATATTTCAGCTGCTTTTTCTCTATTTCTTCTTGGGTTAAGTGGTGCCTCTGTTAATAACACAGGATGCTGGAAGAAGAAATAATGCATTCCATTTTTAATTAAATCAACCGCAGATATTTTTACCAAATAACATCGTAATAAAATAAATGTGCAATTTACATGAGAAGAATGCAACTTTGGAATTAAGTCTGCAGGTACATTTTATGTTGATAACCAAACATTTTGCCACACTGCAAATTCAACAAGCTATATTCTACCTCTTCTGAAAAGGTTTGTAGTTGGTCTTTGGAATAAATATACTGCCAAATTCTCTCCATGTCATTCCAGTCTTTCACAATACCGTGCTCCATGGGGTATCTAATGGTCAGAAGTCCTCTGTGTTCCTATCAATAAAAGAGGATGTCACACATTTCACTTCCATTTCATTTAAAGACCATTTTGAACTTTAAAAATACATGTACTACATTATTTGACATAATTATACCCCTACTGATTTTTCACTATATATGAGTAAATCGATATATTTTGCTGATTCCCGAAAATCACCGTAAAAGGACTGATTCCCTGTAAAAAGGTGTGACAGTCTGTTGAACTGATACACACCTATTCGGAACACTACACAATTTCTTTTAATCATATGAAAAGTTCCAATGTGTTCCAAATAAACTCATAAATATTCATAACGCAGCTATGTTAATGCATCATATAAGGAGGCGGGGCCTAATTCATATGGGAAATGTTATGCCACTCGTATTGTGACGTCAACATGGTAAACTGATGTGCACTGAGAGCTAAACAGATCACATAGCTTTGTAAACTCGGCTAACTGTAATGTTACCTTCAATTTTACAAAGTAGCACAGACAATGAACTAAATTAAAATTAATCACTGTTACAGTGTTGATTTTAACTTTTACAAATTTCTTGTTTGTATCGGTATAATAAAAAAGTTAAAGTATATCATTGAGGGAGTCAGCAAGATTCCAGTTACCCTCGAGCAAGCCTATTTCCCTTGGCGCAAGCGCTTGGGAAATAGACTTGCTCTTGGGGAACTGGAATCTTGCTGACTCCCTCAATGATATACTTTAACTGTATACTGTGATGCTTCCAAGAACCTTATCTACACTGAAGCAATTCTAATGTAAATATTTTGTAATTAAATAACCTCTGCTTCTGGGCCTAGAAAGACATCCCCTTCTAGGGCACCTGCCATCACCCTAACATGCTTTGGTCTTCCCACACTGCAATATAAAACAATGAATTTAAAAAGTGACCTCCACAATGATATGTACATGAACTATAAATCTTCATTTTGTATGCTAGTGAAGAAAAAAAAAAACTTTTTGAAGTATTGATATTTTGATTATATTTGAAAGTGTACTATGAGGGGGTATTTCCTTTTAGACATGCCTGGTAATTTATTTTTTGCAGACTGACACATACCATCTCATGTGAAATGTTTAGAAATTATCAAGAAATGGTGAGAAAGTACACTCACAAGTTTGGAAAGTGGTATTTTGGTACTTGGTCTCCTGCAAAACCTGCTTTGATAACTCCAGACCCCTAAAAAATATAAATCAATGACTAAAATAGCAAATTCATATATAGAAACTGTACATTAAGATGGGCACTACAAAGTGGATCATATACCCTCGCAAAAGAGCAACATCTATCCTGATATAAATTATTACTTGCATAAAATCTATTATGCATGCATTCACTCACTCATCCACACACAAGTGTGTTACTATATCCCTTCCAACATTGTTGCGAAGGGATAATGATTTTTTTTTTTTCAACAATCAAATGTTATAATATCAGATGAGTGCAACTACTGGTGCAAGCACTTCCAGATTTTTTATGCAGTTATTCCATGGTTTAAAATGCTTACTTTTCCAAATACTTTCTTTAGAAAAAGTTCTACCATCTTCCTAGTTGCAACTCATGAAAAGTTAATTGGCCATTCTAATGCAATTGTTTTGTAAAATGCATTTTGACTAGCTAATGGACTGATGTTTGAAGCAGTTAAATGAGTACTAACAAGAACAAAAGCATTTGATTGTGACGTCATAATAAAACGACGCAAAAACACAACCCTTCATCATGTATCTTACATAGGAAATGCAACGAAATAAGATTTTAACATCAAACAAAATGCACAAATTGCATTAGAATGGGAGTTACTATCTTCTCAATTGTTAACTGCAACCGTTAATCATGATCAATGCTGATTTAACGGTCACAAATATCCGTTTTACCTGCTCTGCTGACCAGTCTCCGGTAAAACTCTGTTTGCGACCATTAAATCAGCATTAACGGTCGCAAATAACAATTGAGAAGATAGTTATTCCCTAAATATACTGACTGACAAAAACCATGCACGCACGAAGAATTTGCCACACCCAAGCATATCATTTTCATGACTTTTCAAGCAAAGTAGGAAGTCTTCCATTGTAAAATATTAAATATGTATTCTCTTATTCTTATTAAGAAAAAAATATGTTATAGTCGCATGTGGCTGGGTGAAAATACACTTTTACTTTGTCCATGTTGTCAGTACTTGGCCATAGATTTACCATTCACAGAGAAAAGGGTAAAAAGGTATGATGGTAAACCCTTTTGATGCTGGAAATTGCTATAAAGCATGTATATGGATCGAAATAACCTTGTGATGCAATAAGACTATTTACTTTTACTAGTGAAAGAGTGACAAAAGACTATAAAAGGACATTTAAAAATCTGGAGTATTGAGGAAACTCGGTCAAAGTGAGTCATTGTTTACATTTTGCCCGTATACCAAAATGGCGCAAGTGATACTTCATTCACAGAAAGAATATACATGACTCTTTGCTTACATTATCTATTACAACGGGTTGGTTAGCTATCACATCTGCGTAAGATTCCATCTAATATTTACTGCCTCAACTTGCAGACACATTCATTTATTGATCGGAAGTGCGTACAATTTAGAACCAAGTTGGTAATAAATAATGAGTCCGGAATAACAAGTCATCGAGATATAATTCGCAAGGTAATTGAATTATTGCCCTCTACAATGGAATTAATGACATCTTTAATGCCATTAATGACCATAACAATTATTTCAGAGAGAGCAACTATTTAATTAGTGATAATAGGAGACTCGATAAAATCATAACACCACTTGGTCAGTGCCCCCCCCCCCCCCCAAAAAAAAAAAAAAACAGAGGCCTATGGACCGCAACGCTCACCTGAGTCACTTTCGCCTGCTTTTCTTCATCAAAATTTTTCCCTATAATATTTTAAATCCTTATTGTAGCCCCATCCTACCCCCAGGGGACATGATTCAATCTAAACTACCTTATGAAGTTTTCACATAAGTTTCATCTTTTCATCTGTTCTACCCCAGCGGTTCTTGAGAAGACGACTTTTAAAGATTTTTCCTCTACATTTCAATGTAAGACGTTGAGTCCCTATTGTGGCCCACCCTAACCCCACGGGCCATGATTTAAACAATTTAGAAAATCTATACTACCTCAGGAACCTTTCACATAAGTTTCATCATTTCTGGCCCAGTGGTTCTTGAGAAGAAGATTAAAAAAAAAAATCCTCTATATTTCAATGTAAAACTTTGATTCCCTGTCGTGGCCCCACTCTACCCCCGGGGGTCATAATCTGAACAAACTAGAATCTTCATTACCCTAGCAAACTCTCACACAAGTTTCATCATTTCTGGCCCTGTGGTTCTTGAGGATGTTTAAAATTTTTCCTCTATATTTCAATGTAAAACTTTGATTCCCTGCAGTTGCCCCACCCTACCTCTGGGCGCCATGCAATATTTGAACAAATTTAGAATCTATACTACCTCAGTTTCCAGATAAGTTTCACCTTTTCTGGCCCAGTGGTTTTTGAGAAGAAGATTTTTTAATGATCTCAACCTATTTTTGTCTTTCTTTTTATTATCTCCCCTTGGAAGAGGGATTGACTCTTCATTTTAACAATTTTAACTTCCCTTTACCCAAGGATGCTTTTTACCAACTTTGGTTAAAATCGGTCCAGTCCTTGATAAGAAGTTGAAAATGTGAAAAGTTTACAGACGGACGATGATCAACAGGTGATCAGAAAAGCTCACTTGAGCTTTCAGCTCAGGTGAACTAAAAAAAAAATTCTTATGAAACTGCTTATGCAAAGAAAACAGAATGGAAGATACATACGAGCGGAAAAAAAACTAAAGTACCAAGATCTTGTGAAGGACTGTCAACGGAATGGATGGAATGCCAGGTATTTAGCAGTAAAATTTGGATGTAGAGGGTGGAACAGTCCATATGTGGATAGCACTGAGAGCGACTGGTATGACTGGAGAGAAGGAGATTGTTAGGAAATTTATGTACATAGATCTATACGGCATTGATGCACGTCGCGCTGTGGAGGATGGTAGACTATTAATATAGAAAAGACAGTTACTAATCTTGAGAGTAGCATTGATGGAGAGCCAAGTGTTTCCGGGCTCCGACTAGATCATCCAAATGATGCAATGCTGAATACAACCCCAGCAGACAGTATTGATAGAAAAATAGAAGCTATGTATAGCATTAACACATACAGTTATGTAGTATATACAATGGTCTTGACAGGTTTGAGATGGAACAAAGGAAAAAGTAACGAAAACAGAAGGAAGCCTAAGAGAGATAGGGGGAAAAAAGCAAAGATGAGAACAAACTTGCGACTGCTTGGTACGCGGTATAAAAAGGCAACATAGGCGGAGAAATCAGAACTACGAGATAACATCAGAGAACGTCTTTTAGCAAGAGTAGCACAGAGAAGCGGATGTAAGAGAAGACAGCAATAGAGATACGTCAGATCCGTTCCAGTTAACATAAGGTTGCTAAGAAATCAGGGATCTGAAACGCCGAGAAAAGGGATTTGTGGGAAATAAAACGGTGATCCGCACAGGCAAGATGAGTTACGAAAGTTTGAACTTTGAGCAGTTGATACAAACTTGGGAGACAAATCAACTCTTCTACGAATCACCACCAACGTTTAATGAAGCAGTTGACTAAAAAAAAGAGCAGCGTCAGCACCAGGGCCAAATGAAGTACTATATAAAGTTTACAAGAACTGTCAAAGGTGTGACAAGACGTCCATGGAAGTTGATAGGAGTTGTCTTGGAGGGGAGACAGTTAGCTGGAACAAATTTTATATACCAAAGAAGGTAAATAACTTGTACTGCAACAGTTTAAGACAAAACCACTGCTGAGTGTAGAACGAACGTTTCAGCTAGGAGAATATCATGAATATTCTATTAAATTCCTGAGACCAGTACATATAATCTGGGAATACCACAGAGTCTAAAGGGAGACTACATGTACCAGTAATCTTGATAAAATGCCCATGGCCGAGACAATACCTCAAAAATTGTGGAACTGATACTTAAAGGATACCATGTACCGGATAAGACAAGGGCAATTCTGGAATACTATTTTGACCACCTCCAGCTGAAAGACTTCACAACAGCTTGACAACGCTTAGAACATCACACGATGAACAATATCATTCATATAAAATTTATCCTGTTCTCAGCAAAGATGAATAAAATACATGTAGTCAAGTCAGTGGAGCAGAAGAGCAGAGGGCCATGAATTAAATTAGGAGTGGCCCAACTACCTGGGGGAGCATTCATGGACAACATGATTATTACAGTAAAGACAGTTATTGAAGCCAAGTAACTAAAATCAGCAATCATTTGGGCGAGAATGAAAGTGAAACCAAGTAAAGTTCCTTTAGTAATAAAGAACGGAAAAGTGACTGAAGAAAGATTCAAGACTGGGTGAGAGACAGTAGCAACAGTTTAAGAGAAACCAGTAAAATGCTTGGGGGAAATCTTCAGTGACCCACTAACAGACAGCAGAATGTGAGGGAAACCTACAAACAACTGGACGAATGCATGAAAACTGTGAATAAAAATGGTCTGCCTGGTAAATAAAAAGCATAGATCTATTAGCATGAGATACTTCCTCGCTTGCTATGACCGCTCTTGGTGTGTGATGTACCAATGTTTACGGTAGAAGGGTTGATATCCCTGTGGAAGTGGCTGGGTTACCTGGAAGTTTCAGCAGCGGTGGTTTATATTTAGCCCTGAATCAAAGCAAAAGTTGACTTTTTTAAAAATCGATTACAGGGGAATTCAAGGTGAATGAAGTACGTCTACACTTTATGCTACAAGATAACAAGAACCAGAGAGAACAGAAACTAGAGGAAACAGAGTGCTGCTTGAGGCATAGTGAGATAGTTGCAAGGTTGGCAATAGGAAGGCAAGTCCTATAGTCTGCCTCATGGTGCCATTGTCATCTCTTTTTGTATTTTATCTCAAGATAAATACCTTGACCTTTAAACTATATAAGTACGATCAATAGACTTCCCTCCCAACTTTCTGCATTCAAACGATCCCTTGAGTTCAGCAATGAACTATATGGATACGTCTACGAGAATTTAACATTAGAGAAATGGCCGCCACGTAGGATAGGGATCATAATCATAATTTTCCGTTGCTTGCAGGCAATAACGTATATTGTTATACCTTTACAGATGGGTTCCTATATACATGTACACGTATACTTAAAAAAGTCAAACATTACTAAGCAGTCATAAAAAATCTATGTTTGACTGCAGAGTGAAGTATTGGACCTGTCGATGAGATGTTGGACCGCTTACGTCACACTGTGGACGGGATCAGCTAAATCTTATTTGCATTCTTTGGTGTTCGACAGTAACAGAATTGACCGAGATTTACCGCAGTGGGGGTAAAGGACAAAATGCGTTTTGTCGACCCTCGAACCAAACTGTTTGCCTTCGGCCTAACGGCCCCAGGCAAGCAGTTTGGTTCTTGTGTCCGACAAAACGCAGGTTTCCGTCGAATCCAGTCAATGAATGTTTAATAGCGTATAGTAAAATGAACACTAAACTTTTTGTAATGGGGAATGTAATCGTGCATTCAGAATAAAGGGATATCTTCACACCGTGATTGATTCCAAAAGTAAACCGCAGTGTTGTAGATAATCTTTTAAAAATTTCTGAAAAGTAATCTTTTGCCACCATTAATCACTTGATGACGACACAGCATTGCTGTTCACCAGAATATTGGACAGAAAAATCGACAACTCGGCAAAATAAGGGGTGGATTTGGCCTGATAACACAGAGCTATAAAGAAAGAAATTTTTTTTACAACCGTGATAGCTATAGAATGGTGGGGATATAAATTGTCGTTACTGGTCGTCATTCCCTCCGATTTATTGAAATTCATAACTATACTCATAACTACATGTATGTGTATAGAAGCAAAAACTTGTAAACATATGTATACAAAATATATATGTATAATCATATATGCAAAGACAGAAAATTAAGTATTTAAAAAAGGTGAGGTGAGGTACGTCGAAAGTTAATTATTTACTATAGTATATTAATCTCACTTCCTGTACTTTTACACAGTTTTTTGCGCATACTAGTATTTGTTAAATGCATTGGACTTTTCTATTTAATTAAATGCACTGTTTCGTTTAAGCTTTGAATATAACAATTCAAAAGGCATTTCCTTTGTGAAGAATTCAGCAGTAAACAGGGGGATCAGATTTAAAAAATAAAAACAACCTATTATTGTGTACAGTGTATGTGATAGAAATAACGTAGACTCTGTCTATATAGATCACAAAAAAACCCAATCTTGATTTTTTAAAAAAATGACTACGTACATTATGAAGTCCTTGACTTTTGCAAAAATAAAGTTTGATGAAAAGTAAAACAATTTGGGGACCAAAAGCTACCAAGGACTTGAAAACAATGTATATGTTGTAATTCGATCATTTGATTCCGCATACAAATATCAGCTGAGAATCCTCATTTTTGCACCCCTCTTAACAGAAGAATGAGCACGGGTATCACTTACGGATCGTACGACTAAAACTGGTCTGATTTTGGGGGCTATTTTTTACAGCGTGGTTATAGTATATTCTGGTTTAATCCGGAGGAGAACAAGAGTTGTGATAAGTCCATTACAGACGTCTCCATTGTGAACATAGCTCAAAGAGGTCAAAATTAATCCGGGGTAGAAACGACAAATACCACTTTCTTCAAACATTTCCATTACCAAGGTAAGATCTTTACAAGTAGAAAAGTGCTCGAGGCACATTCAGATGCTTGCAATGTGCATTGTAGTGCGTTGACACAATTTATGTACAATTAATCGTTAGTGAAAGTCTGCATGATATTTCCGTAAACTTTAACAGCAAAGAAATTACCACATATTGAGTTTTTTGGTATTTTTTTCAAGAAAAGGAATGTCATACATTTTTAATTCCTAGGAGATTGTTCAAACTCGTGTTCGATCCACTTCGATACATTTTACAAGCTGAGCTGAGTTTGGATAGTAAACAATAAACACCTCATGTATAAACATAGATAATCATTATCTCGAGCCAGTTCTCTTTGTCTGAGCTCGAGGTACTTCTTATTCTCTCAAATATTGATGTAACTTTTGCAAAGGATAATTGTGGAGCAGTATCTCGTCAATATATTGTCTTTAACCTTGTTTTGTTAACTTTTTTCTCTTTTGTTGTTTGAAGGATAAAATTAGTATTACAATGGAAGAACATCGAAGATTTTCCTGCATGACCGTAAAGGGTAAGTGTCCTACTCATATACCAATTTTATCCGGGCAAAGACCTATACTGAAATTTGAATCCTATGTCTTAATTTTAAAGTTAGTGATTTAAAGGAAATTTGTATAACCGAAACCTGTCTCTTGTAGCAATGATATTTTTCTGAAGTAATGTCCAGTACAAGAAATTTAAAGGCTTCGTGTTACATTGCAAATGTAATCATTATATGTATCGAAGCATTTTGATTTTATATCACAATGTTTCAATGATTTTAGTATACAAAACTTGGAATAATTTCCATACCTAGTTCGATTTTTGTTTCTTTGTAAATGTTTCTTTTCTATTTTAAAAGCTCGAAGAAAACATTAATTGTTTCTTAAATACATGTATACTGAAAGTTGCTTGCTGCAGAAAAAAGGAAGTTGATTTTACTTTGACCGTTTCCTCCTCAGAATTATAGGTGAAAATAGAAAAAAAAACAACTCTTTTTTTTGAGGGGGGGGGGTGTCCTTTCGTATATCATATAATTATATTTACGTGAATTCTAACATTAGGCGCTCTATAAATATTTGAAATTACATGTACTAATTCCACTTGTTTTGAAATACAAGTGCTATTTTCTGTATAAATTTGCGAATTCCTGGATATTCCTGAAATACGTACTTTGGAAGTAGATTATTTTGATAAAGAAATAATGACAGCAATACAACAATTTTTAAATCAAAGATTAAACAATACAAAACAATGGCTCATATTCATTTCAAGATTTTAGGTTAGCAAAATAAAACCGGTACCACTGTGACCGTCTCTAGCTGATACTATGATATTAGAAAATGTTAAATATTAAAGACAATGTATCTTTCAAGAATAATCCGTTTATTTTCTCTACCCAAAATTTACACACCCAGGTTATGACAACAATTGAAAATTTGCATTATGTCACATGGCTAAGAACACGAGTAATAATACCCCATCGTGTCTTAGAAAAGTCTGAGAGACGCATACCATGTAATTTGTGTACATAAGATCAGAATAAATAAATGGGACATTCTTAAGAATTAACGCCGCCAGTAACAGGAGTTTTGAAAGTGTCCCTCTCGGGGCAAAAGAGGGATTGTTTGCGTTTCTCGTGTGTTTGTAAACATTTGGTAATCTCACCAATAACACAAACATATTCAATGTGACCTTTTTTTGTTTGCGACGGAAAAAGTTAAGGGGATTAATAATAGAAAGGAGGGGGTAGGAATTGCCGTAAATATTGAATCCCATGCAGTTTTATCTCAGACACGTCGATTGCTGAATGATAAACGTGAAAAAAGGATAACTCGAAATAGAGATTCAGCTCTGGTATGTATAATGTTCTAGACAATCTTATCAGGGAAAGAGGGAGAGAATGTTAGATATAATAATTCGGTCTTTTAGTTGCCATTAATTAGACATAGTGTTCCCAGAAATTATTGAGGATTTTTTCGAGATTTTTTTTTTCAAAATATTTTAAAAATAAAATATTTATAGTTTAAAATCAGTTTTTTTTAATCAAATGACAATACTTGCTACTTTCTAATTTTATATGCTGTTTTCACGAATAACTCTCCGTTTTCTTTGTATACTACCGGTCGAATGCTAATGTTCAAATTAAGTGCTTTTGAATAAAGAAAGTCTATATTGTAGATGCTTATTATCAAAGAATTGCAAAACTAGTGATACTACTGTAGCACTGAGTATTCCACTGTCTATTATTGATTCACATGGGACAAAATATTGAAAAATGGAAAGGAATTCGACTGAGCGAAAGAGCTGGCAGGGCTAGGAATGAAACCCCATTTTTCTACATTTAGTGTTGCTCTAACTGAGCAAATATCCAACCCTTTTCTGATCTGTAAAATGTTAGTTAACTAGGCCTACAAACTCTTTTCCTATAAACTGAATTCCTCTTCTTTTTTAATATTTTGTACCACACAATGCAAAGTAGACTGTGAAATATTCGGTGTTTCAGAAATATCTCAAGATTTCACCATCCTTTACTGCTATTTATACATTAATTGAATAGGCTTTAAATTTAAAAAAACAGTAATTTTGAACATCAACAGACAGAAGGAAGTATCACTGGAGGATTTAGAGGGGGCGGGGGGCCTGAACCCCCCTTTGTGTCCAAAATATATAATACATAAGATTTGATAAATATTTTTTTTTGGTGTGACCCAGACCCCAATCTGCCCCCCCCCTTTTTCAAGATTCCTAGATCCGCCACTGAGTATATAAAATAAATAGGAGGTTATCCATGAAAACTGCATGTATCATAAGAAAGAAGGGGGTATTGTCATAAAATAAAAATAGTACCATTAAATTATATTATTTGTTATTCATCCATTATTTTAGATAAATGTATTATAAAAATTCTCAATAATTTCTGGGAACACTGTAAAAAAAAATTTCTCTTTCAAGATTAATTTATATACCAAGCAAAATTTATTACCGGGATAATTTGCTTAAAAAAAAAGAAAATTGAAATATCTAAATCTAATATGTTACCAGAACCTAAACGCCTAATTCATAAAAGTCTTTGAATTAAAATATATATATATGGAATATTGCGAATATGAACTCAGTATAACATTAATTTTAATGATACATGTATATATATGGAATATTGCGAATATGAACTCAGTATAACATTAATTCTAATGATTTTTAACTTTATTTCATAACATTTCCCGAGAGATGTACTTCATCAATATATAAGTATAGTTATCCACAGTAGCTCCCTATTGCTACTACATATCCTGCTTCTTCCGTAATGAAACATATTAGTACACGGACATTGTGACAAATTATCAAGTCGTTATATTCTCAATGAGTAAAATTCATAAACAGGGCCTTTTGGGAAGGATGCCATTTGTAAATAATCTAATTGTTTCAAAATATGTTGGTATACTAGTACATAAGGAGGTAAGTATTACATGCAGCATTTATACTAATGGTGATACCGTAATTGTTTTTCTTTTGTTATTTCTTTGTGTCGGTTACTGAAATTATTGCCAAAATTGTCATAACTCTGTACTCATTTGTCAATCAAGTTAAACAGTGTAAAAGCTCGAGATTTTTGGGAGGTACATTTTTGAACTTATGGAATTTTGCCTCTTTCAAAGGGTGTTGATTAAAATGGGACCCCCTTTGAGAAATTTTTGTCTCTGTTGATGAAAAAATAAATATTTTCCTCATTGTTAATTATACATTACGGAGATGTTATTTGGGAGTTGAAGTATTAGTTTAAGAGAGAGAGAGAGAGAGAGAGAGAGAGAGAGAGAGGAAAGAGCCCTGGTATGTTTTCCTAAATATATTTCTTCTTCACTTCAAGTTATTTTATTGTAAAAGAAAAAACTATAGTCGTCATTAGTCATAATGAAAAGGAGAAAGAAATGGTTGAACTGCAAAACATTTTACAATATCATATTACTTATTTTCAGAACACGATATATATGAATTAAAAGAGAAAATGAAGTCAATGGCCAAAAGTTCATCGACAGAGATAATCATGAATGACGAGTCATCGCCGACACAAAGAAAATCAGGAATCTTTAGTCGGATGAAAAAGAAGCTTGCAATGAATTCTAGTCTTTCCAGCGTTCAGTCCTCATCTTCCATAGGGAGCGGCATCGATGCTCTCGGTGCATCACCATTCGAAAACTATCTTGATTTATCTTCTGATAGCTCCAGCGAAGAAGAAGATTGTCACGTGACTGAAAATCCAGATGGTCACGTGAACGCAATTTTCACATTTGATAACGATTCTTACCTTCGTGCAAATTTGGTAAAAATTTTCGGATGTGAGGGTAAACAGAAAGGTTGTTTCAAAGATGCAACTGATGTGCAGAGTTTGGGCAGGGGAAAGTGTATAGTGACCGACATGATCAATGGACGAATTTCGACCTTCAACCGAGAAGGGCGACCCAAAATCATAAGATGCAGCTGGGTACTGAAAGAGCCCTGGGCCACAGCTGTAATCTCAGAGAATAAAATCGCTGTCACATCTAGAAAAGACAAAAATGTATCAATTATTTCAATGCATGGTGATGTTCTGTTCTCTTTTGGAAGCAACTTCTTTCAGTGCCCTTGTGGTGTAGCGGTAGATAAAATTGGTCGTTTTATAGTATCTGATGTGTTATCTAATGACGTGTCTGTCTTTTCTCCTGAGGGAAAATGGTTGTTTAATCTTGGAGACCCATTGTCACCTATTCAACAGTTCAAATCCCCCCGCTATGTACATATCAACATCAATGGCGATATTATTGTGTCTGACTCTGGAAATCATTGCGTCAAAGTCTTTAATGAACATGGTAACTTCAAATTCTCATTTGGACAATTTGGTCGACAGGAAGGAGCATTTAAGTCTCCTTATGGAGTGACATCTGATGGAGAAGGAAACATCATTGTTGCAGATCATTATAATGATCGTGTTGCATTATTCTCAAGCAAGGGGGAATTCCTAAGGAACCTTGTTTCAGCGGAAGACGGGTTGTTGCATCCACAGGGGGTAGGACTATCTAGTGACATGCATTTGTTTGTCACTCATGGAAAAATGAAAGCTACAGAAGTAATAGTTTATTCATTTAATGACAATCATAACGAAGTCTCTTGACTTTTAAAACTTTTATCAATCAAGTTCCTAATAAATCTCGAATTGTTAACTTTATGACTAGACAATTTATATATACATCATGTACATAAACAACAGATTATAGTTAGGCTGGAGTGTTCTTATTGACAATGATTGGGAAAGTAAATACACTCCACAGAAACTCGGTTTTGTCATGTACATATCATTTTAGTATATAAGATTTGTTGATTCTGATGTTCTAGTCAAACCATGCTTACGTAGTTATATGTGTACCTTAAGTATTATGTTTGAAATCAAGTGTTTGAACATCCAAAATAAACAGTCTCTTAAAAAATCCTTGTACTGTTCAGTTGATTAAATTTTTGAAATAACAAAAATATTATTGTCAACTCAATCAAAACATTTTTTTGAGACATCAAAAGGCCAAGTAAAGTTTTGGTATGTGAAATTTACAATTTTTATGCCCCTGTCATAAAATGGCCGGGGACATTTAGTGTTACCCTTCTTTCCCCGTCATTCCGTCATCATTGACTTTCCGTTCATTATCTCGGCAACAGTTGCATACATTCAACTCACATTTGACATATCATTACGTGTTAGAAACAAGCAGGTCACGTTCGAATTTGGTCATGGTCCGATGATTTTTGACAGAGTTATCCCTCTTGAACTTAGAAAAGAAATAAGAAATTTTCAGTTTCCACTCTCTAACTTTTGTAGGGATGTATGTGTAAGGTTGAAATTGCATGTGCAGGTATTTTACCAGAAAATACAGATCAAGATTGAATTTGGTCGTGGTCCGATGATATTTGACAGAGTTATCCCTCTTGAACTTTGAAAAAATAAGAGTTTTTAGTTTCCGCTCTCTGACTTTTGTAGGGATGTATGTATAATTTTGGAATTGCATATGCAGGTATTAAGGTTAAAATTGCTTATGCAGGTATTTCATAAAAAAATACAGGTGAAGTTAGAATTTGGTCGTTGTTCAATGATTTTTGACAGAGTTATCCCTCATGAACTTAGAAAAACATAAGATTTTTTTTTTAGTTTCCGCTCTTTTACTCTTGTAGGGATGTATGTATAAGGAATGGAATTGCTTGTGCAGGTATTTTACCGGTAAATACAGATCAAGTTTGAATTTAGTTGAGATTCGATGATTTTTGACAGAGTTATCCCTCTGAATTTAGAAAAAAATAAGAAATTTTCAGTTTTCGCCCTCTAATATTTGTAGGGATGTATGTATTAAGCTGATATTGCATATGCAAGTATTTTACCAGAAAATATAGGTCAAGTTCGAATTTGGTCGTTGTCCGATGATTGCTGACAAAGTTATCAAGTTTGAACTTAGAAAAAATAAGAAATTTTCAGTTCCTGCTCTCTAACTTTGGAAGGGATGTATGTATAGGGTTTAAATTGCATATGCAGGTATTTTACCAGATAATACAGGTCAAGCAAGTTTGAATTTGGTCGAGGTTTAATGAATTTTGACAGAGTTATCCCTCTTGAACTTAGGAATAAAAAAGAAATTTTTAATTTCCGCTCTCTTACTTTTGTAAGGATGTATGTATAAGGTTGGAATTGCATATGCAGGTATTTTACCAGAAAATACAGGTCAAGTTTGAATTTGATCGTGGTCTGATGGTTTTTGACAGTTATCTCCTTTGAACTTGGAAAAGATATAAAAATGGCTACCTGCGGGGGGATTCGTGGCGTTACGATACATCTAGTTATTATCTAGCTTTAATTTTAGGATATACATGTAGTTTTAAATTATATTTGAAAACATTTCAATAATTTTTGTACCAGCTTCATAATTAATTCACTTGCGATCTATGTTTTATAAAGCAAAAAAGTATCTAAAATTCCATAATCAGCGAGGAAATTCGACATTTTTTCTTTTATCTAGTTCTCTGGTAATGAAAATCAATGCTAGTTGTGATCCAAGCATCCTTGTACAAACTATTGCAATGGGTAATTGTTGTCCTTTAACATTCCTAGTTCTTTGAATATTGTAACTTTTTGCAGTTAAATCCACATGCAATTGAAACTAGATGCTTTCATAAGAGATACCTGCACTAGTATGCTTCTAAATGTATTCTCCCTCATATCTAGAGAAGAACCAGTAATATTTGTTTTATAATTTGCAGAAAATAACATGTATATATAATTGAGCATAAAATGTTCATGGGAACATGTGGCCAATGGACCTCTTATTATAGTGTGTGAGTATGTATTAGTATACAAGCAATAAAAAGATTATATAAGAGTATGAAATTAAGAATTTATATGAAGCATATTCTCTGTTTAAATCTGAGTTTTGGAATGTAAAGGCTTTAATGTAAAATGATGTTTTATATTATCTGGCCCAATTGGTCTCCTGGACGAGAACAGTAATTTCAAAACCTTATAGCATATTTACAGCACACCTTGTGGCATATTAACATGACATCAGAAATCCAAAATTTCAAAATGTGATTTGGCTACTGACTGAATTTTAAGTGCTGTTCTGGGAACATGGTTTTTTGTAGCATAAAGTTGTTTATGGGCCCTCTATTGGCCTCTCAGATGAAAATGAACATTCCGAAATCATACTGCACATCTACAAGACACCACCAATCATGTTTCAAAAAATATTTTGCATGATTAAAATATAAGAGGCTTTTTGGGAACCAGAAATTTTGTAGGAAAAAAAGGTTTTCTGCCCCAAGTTTGCCCTATGAATGAAAAGAAATTCCGAAACCTTATTATACATCTACAGGACGCTACCATTCATATTCCAAAAATGATTTGACTTGAATGGGCAAATGCATGAGTTCTGGAAAACAGGTTTTTGCAGAAAAAACGTTTTTCATTCTTCGATTGTCGCCCTGGATAAAAATGGATATTCCAAAACCTTACTGCACATCTACAGGACACCTCCAAGCACGTTCTAAAAGATGAATGGCTCTGCTAAAAATGTTAGAGGAATCCGAGAAAAAAAGTTTGACAGTCGGGCAGATCAGGATAACAGCAATTTACCTGAACTTTCTTTAGAAAGTACGATTATAAAAACAATATTTTCTTTTGCCTAAGTTTTTCTTATAATGAAATCAAAGAAACAGCAATAATTGCAACGTAGTCTTTCTCTTAAATCAAGCATTTTTCTTTTACATTAACATTAAAAAAAACTTTTTTCTTACTGTAGGTTTTAAATTTTGCAAAATTACTTTATTTGTAATCACAAAAATGATGAAGATAACTTGTGTTTATTATTTACTCTTTTCATTCGCATGACAATGTTTGTTAAAGAATTTATTTTGACTTAATATGAACCTCAAAAACTCATGTAAAATTATCTGTATACACATTGAGTTATTTTTCTTTGTTTACTAGAAAATCATAAAAATAATTTTCTTCATTCTCGTCTTCAAAATTTAAATGATTCCTCCTATTTCATTGCAAATCTTTCTTCTAAATTCTACATAGCTTTACATGACTGAAAGACAAGCAAAAAACTCGCTGACAAACCCCAACTTTCTTTGGTGGAGGTAATAGCAACCAATTAGGATAACAGATTGAACAAGGGTAATATAATCATAGATATTTATACCCCAAAATTTCTTTAAAAAAATGAATTCGGTTGTTTTGTTGAAATCCTGGTCCGCCTATCCCTCTTTTACACTCTTTTCCCTCAAACTCATTACATCTTAAACAGGAGCCAATTTATGTTTTGGAATATGATAGGTGGTTTCCTGTAAATGTGCAATAAGGTTTAAGGAAATTAATTCTTAGATTGGGAGCCAATTGTGGGGTGGAAAAACGACGTTTTTCTACTTAAAACTGGTTTTCAGAACTCATATGCTACACAGAAGCCAAATTATCTATTGGCATATGATTGATGGTTGGTGGCGTACATGTATTTTAGATGTACAATGAAGTTTACAGTTGGGCCAATTGGGGATCAAGAAACGATGTTTTTCTATTAAGAAAGTATGTTTCCAGACTTCCTCTTACATTTTAAGCAGTTACCAAATTATCTTATGGAATATTATTGTTGTGTCCTGTAGATATGAAATAAGATTTTGGAATTTTCTAGGGTTGACAATCGACCAATTTTTAGTAGCCGGTTACTTGCCTGCATTTCCGATCGAGTACTCGAGTGCTTGGTCATTATTGAAGAAAAAAAAATCAAAATTTAAATCTATTCATCTTTACGATTGTATATTGTTCTTTTTGATTAAACGTAGTATCAGCGTCTTAATGCCTACGTTAATTTAGTCGTATTAAGGTAAATTTTAAATATTTTTAATAGATATTAATACACTAAGTATGATAAACGAATGGAAATTTTGTATGATTATCAATATCAAATCAAATTCATGTCATGAATTTTAATATTCCTGTTCTCGCAGCAGCATGTTAACCATAACTATCTATCAGCTATATGGCTCGCTTTTTTTGTTTGCACAGCGGAGAATATAGAAAATTTAGAACAACTACATGAATCGCGATTTTTTTTGTTTTGTTTTTTGGCTGATCGAGCGGAGAATTTGAAAAAAAGTTTAAAACAGTTCTCTGGTTTTACTTCGATGTCACTTTGCTTGATATGTTTATGATTTAACATATTATTTTTCTCTCCCATGTAAGTAAATTCAGCTTCACAGAGTTGACATTTTATGGATTTAGAAGTGCCGGTTCTTTTAAAATACTCCCTCATTTAAGAAGCAATTTTGCTACTTAGTAATAAAGAAACTATATTGATTAAATGAATTTCAAATGTGATTTCGAATCATGACGTGTCCCTTGCTTTAAACAAAACAATGAACTGACTGAGGTGGTAATGAGTTTTAATTGTGAAAATATGGCATGATCTTAAATCCACGCAAGGTAATTGAGATAAAGGAAAGGTGATCTCTGAAAGTAGTCTGTTATTTGACAAATAACGATAACCATCCATAAATATATTGCATGATTTTATTTTTTCCAAGAACCGGAATACTATTTTTAGTATTCGATACTTTCGACGAGTACTCGAGTAACCTGTTACCTACTGACAACCC